AACCCCAAGAATATAGCAGGAATATCATGGAATGTAAGGACCCTGGTAGGTATATTCCTATTATATACCTACTATATTCTTGGGGTTCCCTATTTGGGGTTCCCAGTAGAGTCCCTTTATTGTAGTAGCCAGGCAGCTCCAAAGAGCAAGAACAAGTACTTGAAGGTCTCGCTCAACAAGAAGGTCTGCATCTCATCACGACGCAGCAGCTCCTTGGAGTGTGGCCATGTATCAGAATCAAGGTTCCAGCAAACGGCAAGCAACATCAAGCCAGAAACAGAAAACTATGGGAACATGACACATGTTGCAGCCCAGTCTTCAAATTCTAAAAACAGTTCTTTCGCCAGAAAGGTGCGCGCTCATATTCCTATCGCGCACCATCCTCATGCACACCTACTTCTTTGCGGCGGGCCATGCTCTGAAGTAGTACAGAAACTTGAAAGTCCTTTGTTTGAGGGTTCAAATGCCGGGCTATGAATTGTACAGCAGCCTACATGAGGACTGTGTTCATGTCACTGCAGTCCAATCAGAAAAGCAAACTCACAACTGTTCTTCACAACTCACATCCGAAGCTCTGCCTCGGCCGTGACGTCCTCAATGCTGCTGTAGCCTGCCACAGTTTCCCATGAAGTTAACCTCTGGCACTTACGCACCAGCGCTTTAGGAACAAGCTCTGAATCTTGGTCTCCATCAGGACATGGTCAAAGCATGATCACCAGTACAGAACCAAGTATCTGCAACAATGCCTGGGATGTTCCATCACAATCCCGGGCGGCTACAGAGGACCCTTGTCGCTTTCAGCTCGCTTTCCTCATCTGCTTGAGTGGTGGGGAACAGAAGTCGTGCCGTGCCGTCAGTGTACAAGGCATCCAGAGCAAGTGCAGCCGAGTCTTGCATCTAGTCTTCCCTGCGCGTATAACTCCAAATCTGTGTAACTAGCACTCTTCCATAGAGGCCCCTGCCTGAATCCAACCGGGCGAAGGCCTCAATCGCCTGGAAAATGGCCCAGCCCCATTCCTGCAGAAGCTCTGTTTCCAGTGCAGTGCCAGCCAGGTCTATTCGACAAGAGGACGCGGGCTTAGCATGGAGACTTGATGCCTCTATCCCGTGGTAGTTTCCAGCACGGTTTCTTAAATTAAGCCCCTTGCTCCAAATCTTTCTTGCATACTACGAATGCTTGACACTGACTTCCAGGAATCAGTCAGGCAAAGGTCTTGAACGGCGACACGGGATGTCAGTCCTCGAGGCCCCCGCATGTGGGGCTAAGCACGTCTTTGCTACTTGCGTGACATTAAGTCAGCATTATCATCGGCACTGAACCTCCACCGCCTCTTCTTTCCATGCTTACAGAAGCAAGTTTCCTGGTCATTATCATTGGTTGTATCTTTGTATATGCCATTCTGAAATTCATCTTCTTGGGCACTGCTACTTCAGAGGTAGCCCAGGGACGCTCTGCACTCTGCAGGCCGCAAAATATCAAGACCCTGCCAAGAAAATTGCTGCCAAGCGTCTTGGTATTTGGAGTTGCCGCTTGCCAGATACAAGTACCTACGAATGCACAAAATTCCGCCTGACAACTTTGAATCGAACCAAAACTGGCACCCATTACCAGGCAGCAGCAAAGACGCAAACAGCATCCGCTCGAGAATAGGCTTCTAACTCAATTCAACACAGCCCTGGCGCCGACAGCCTATCTGAACAGCTGATTGCCAAGAATTGTTGACGGCATCATTTGTGCGATTTGAAGAGACGAGTTTAGACCCTAAGCCCTATATCCTAAACCCTATAAACCCTCTATCCTGAACCCTATATCCCTAAACCCTAGGGCCCTAGGGTCTAATGAAGGGGTCACCACAAGGACTCGACAACCTCCGGTCTCAAACTGCAGTGGCCATCTCTAGGAGTGGCCTCACCGTGGCCAGGCAGATCATGGCTCATTGCGGATAATGGAAACCAACATGGAAACTACTGTCGCATATTGGGGCTATAGGGATAATGGAAAAGAAAATGGAAACTACTAGGGGTTCAGGGTTTGGGGTTCAGGGTTGGGGTCTACATGGACAGAATGCAAAAATGAAAACTAGTATAAACAGGGCCAATATTACGGGGATCACAAAGGAGAGGAGGCGTAGGAGTTGTCGATGTAACAGCTGCAGCAACCGCAGCAGCTACGGCAGCGGCAATGCGAGGAGTTGTAGAAGAAGCTGACTCTGGTGTAAGCCCCTTTAATGCTTTAGTACAGTGAGCCCTTGAAGAGCAGCAGAACCTGCTGATGTCCAAGGCGTTAAAAGTGAGACTCCAACTCACTTGATACTAGTGCTGAGCAGCGCATGGGGAAATGAACCATACGGATTACTGTTGGGGATGATTTCAGGGTGACTATAGGGCATAGGGATTCCCCTCCCCTAGGATTCAAGATGCTAATGTGATGCTACAACATTTTTGTAAGCGTTTTCTGGGAAGTAGGGGCAGACGAAGTGCCTGGGATCTAAAGTGAACAAGCTAAGTTGCTCGAAAGTCACTGGAGCGCTGAGGCGCTCGATTCCAAAGTACGCTTTCAGGCGCAAGGCCTGGGATGCAAACGAATCGGACCCCCCCCCTCCCCCCGCCCAAATGCCCTGTGGGACGATGCCAGTGTTGGATCCTTAAGAGGGGGCCTGTTGGGTAATGAGAAGCAGCGGAAGTTTTGGAGGGAGCATGGGGACAGGGTCGTGCCGTCAAGGAATGATCGGTGATCATTGGCAAAGTGCTCCAAGCACGACTGCTTCACGAAGCTGTGTGAGTCCTTGCTCCCAGTACATGCATCCAAATAAGCAAAGCATCACGGATGATATGCTCTCAACATCAACATACAACAGCTTGAGGGGCGCTCCTCAAGTATAACACTAGTTCATACTTGGAGCCGTTCTAAGTCCCATCAGCTGAGGGGCCCGTTGAAATGGGAGTTTGTTTTGGTCCACTTGGCGCGAGATTGAGATGCGTTTGCCACAGGCCTATTCATATCCATTGAAGTAGATTGGTAGTACGGGTGATCCGTATTTATTAAGCCTAGCATTAAAATCAGCAGCAAGTAATAAATGCCAGCCCGACTAGCAACAGTGCATCCACCCTAGGACTAAGAGCGCAGACCTTCCCAGACGACAATTCCCGATCCCGGGAACCGGCAAAAGCCCAATCAGCACTGGAAAATGATATAGCTCCGATAACATGAGCTTCAAGTCTAAGCCCCCCTTTTGAGTGCACTTGGGAGGGGCGCAATCTACATTTAGTCTGGAAACCATCTTCAGAGTTCTTTTTAATTCTGCAGCCTACAGTCTCCAAAATCCGTCGCATTTTGAAAAGGGGATTGCAACGATGGGCTCCATCGTGGATCCCTTGCAGGCCTCGGGGTGAGTCCAACCACATTCTCGCGCAGCTCTCTGCCAGTTCATGCGCCAGCTGCAGCTCCTCTGAGATCAAGGGTTCAGGGCTGTACGCCTAGCGTTGCAGCAGTGAATTTCTGAAGAAGCCCTCAGCGAATGTGGGATACATTAAGGTGATAGACATTGATCGATTACTGTGGAGACTAGAGGTTCAGAGAAAGTGCGCTGGGAAGCCGTTCTCCCAATCGGGACTGAGCACCGAAAAAAGTTGATAAGAAGGGTACGGTGCAACTCCGGCTTCCAGCCCTCAATGCTTCCTCGATGACCATAAATCAATCGGACGCTCCGTGAATATCCTCACTCCCTGGACTCTGAACCGCACCCTAAACTTGGACCCTCGGCGACTGAAGCTGCTTGAACCATGGCTTAAAGCCAGTACTTGGAAGGTCATGCAAGCTCTGAATGCCCCAGGAGCCAAAGGCTGCACCCCAAGGGGAGCCCCGCCTGGGACAGACTCCTCGAGAAGGACACCTACAGTGGTATGAAAAAGAAACCTTTCTTAAGGGTCTGTCCTATCTGGGGGCCCCGGGGACTTTACATTAGTGAAACCAGCCTCTTCAGGCTGCTCTGCCGCACCAGTGAGGACACCCAATGCCAGGACACCCGGAAAAAAGCAGGAAAGATGGTCCTGCATGGACACTGTGCATCAACTATGGTCTTCCGCTGTAAGTTGAGATTTTGATTTGAAGCTTTGGGCGTACGTTTCTTCTGCAATCTCTCAGCTCCCCCACGCAAAATATTTGCTGCGGGATAGGCTTTGCAATGATGGCCTGCACTGTTGGTTTTGGTCCTCGAGAGTCCCGTCCAAAGCTGAAGCACATGAAGCATCAACAGCTTAGGGTCGCCCAAGCAGACTACTATGCAGAGAGGTCAGCACAGATCGCTGTGTGTGTACCCGAGGAACATAGTGCGCCTTCCTGAGCATCTCTTGTCAAAGCCCTATAATGCAGCCAGTCCATCTTGAACTCAAACGGTGCCCGGCATAGATCGTGGAGCTGGCTGCTGAGCATGGCATCAATCCTGCCAGCAGAAACCACCGGGACCTGTACTCTTCTGACTGCTCTTCCCTTTGTTTCATGAATGGTATTCGTTGTTGATGGGGCTGCCTCAACATGAGTTTTCTATTCCTTCCATCTGGCTCACAGGGCGCGGTCACTAACCCCCGGCCACGGCTTGTTCTGCAGGGATCGTGCTGAATATATCCTCAAGGGTGACGGAAAATTCTCGTGACATGAAGGGTCTTCATCCACGTAAACAATGATCAGAGCGGGTCATGCTGACCTACAGAGAACGCCATTTCCTCACGGACCTCAGAACAAAATGTAAGTTTCCCTTTATCCTAGGACCAGACGGCTCAAACCAAGCTGCATGACTTCTCTGGAGCACTGAAGCCATGCGCAAACCACCAAGATACGTTTGAAGAAGCCAAAGCTGCACTTCAAGCCCCCTGTACTCAGCTCATCTCAAGTTTCTTTCAAAACAAAAATTCAAACGATTGGAATGTGGGCTCGAATCGAACTATGAACAACTTCATACTGTAAGATCAACTCTGAGCGCATGGTTTGGAGAACAAACATCAAAGAAGGTAAAGTCTATCCAAGTCCTCCTGCGAGAAAAGTATCCTCTCAGCTTTGAAAACTATGAAGCCCCCGGTCCTGAACTGGGCATTTGCAGACAACTGCTTGAACGGCGGAGGCAATATGATTGCCATCATCTTAGCAGGCAAAATAAGTATTGTGCATAGAATGCCCCATTGGGATAGTGTCAACGCAGTGGATCCCTCCTCATGGGAATGGGGTCTCCATCGGAGGCCTGGAGCTAATCTACAACCTCAACTCTGAGCACGCTTCGAACCACTTGCTATGTCACATGCATGCATCACTGCAAGCTTTCGGAGCTTGTAATTCTGAACCGAAGGTTGTGCGCAATGCAGCCCCTTTTGCCCACAAAGCAATCTGAAAGATAGTTGCAAAGAACTGCCTGGATTCCAAGAATGACAACTTGATCCTCACAGGCAAATCTGGGACTCGAGCTTTGCTTGCCACATCCCATCGATGGGATTGCAGGAGCTCCATCCTTTAGCACAGCAAAGGTTGACGAGTGGCCAGGGACGTTTGCCAAGGTTCACACATCTTGAACTCATGACGGACAGGGGCGTTGCAGTCAGTAGTGCTGCAATTCGAAACAGCATAAGCAGGAACATGCAGGAGTGCACTTACCTCGTTCGACTGATCTTGCGCTTCTGCCTCTAGCAAGATTCTAATCCGAAAACTCTATTGTACTTGGAGGGTGTTCTGCGCGTGCTTGTTATACTAATTAGGGAACATGTTGGCTAGCTTGACCCCAATCATATGGGTGGTATGACTATCATTTGATTCTGAAGTTCTTGCCATTGGGTTCTGGGCTGCAAAATGCCCTTATTCTGTATGAGCTGGAGCCAGCGTAAACGAGTAAAGCACCATCCATTCAACCCGTACTCTATGCCAAAGACAACAAACAGGGTGGGGCTTCGGGACCTGCCTTGCGGTCCAAGACACCAACGCGGCTGTCGGCGAGTACTACAGGGGCCTAAATCATTACCAGTATCATTTTGAGGTCCATTTGAGGTACCACAGACCATAACTATATAAGGAGTATGGAACCATAATATTGGAAATTACTTAGGCCCTTATAGTATGTCAAGGATGGTATTGCTTGTTGGTTCATGGGCGGTCTGATTTTGCAACAACCTCTTCTCAGTCCAAGTGGCAGGACACATGCCTTGTCGGGCGACAATTCCGGCACGAGGATGTAGGCCCATGATGGGTGCGATCGATTCTGCCAGGCCAGATTCCAGGTTCGAGTGGCTAGCAAAAGACATTGAGGGATCCTTACAATTTTTTGCACTGGGGAGCACTTCGGGAAAAACCATGTCTTGAGGCGCCATAAGTTGAAGGGCACCAAGCTGATAGATGATGCAGGTGCCCGCGGGCTGCTGCAGGGTTTGCAGGAAGTCCGTGGTGTTGCCGAGTGACTTGGTTTTGCAGGCGGGTCTTTTGATATGCGAGAGCTGACGCTTTTTTGTGCTCGTCAAGTCAGAAGCAGCGTTTCAGACTTCCAGAGGTTCTAGGCTGCTTTTTGTCAGCAGCAGGTCCAGAATTGCAGTTACCGCAAGAATCCAATTTTTTTCGCGTCAATTATGCCACTGAAATCTGCTTACCTGAAGATATTTTATTCACAGATGATACATTTCTATACAGGCTGAAGCCTCCAAATGACTGTAAACCAATGCCGGCCTCGTGAGAGCTGTTTCCCTGGGCGCTGCTCTTCAGTCCTCTGCATTTTTGGTTAGGACTACTAATAATATTACAATTATTATTAGTACTATTACTAGTATTATTATTCTTATTATTCTTACTATTACTACTACTACTACTACTACTAGTACTAGTACTACTACTACTACTACTACTGCTACAACAACAACAACAACTACTACTACTACTACCACTACCACCAGGCAAACCATCACACGTCCTCCCAGACTTCCAACGTCCTTCTCTAAGCGAGCACCAGCTTCATCACAATGGGAATCCCCATCCGATTTACATAATGTGAACAACTTACCTTTTCAGGGTTTGCTGTTGGGAAGCTGGTGGACTTTCAGATTCAGTGCTACCAGATCCTGATGCACTACTCCAAAGTGGTAGAAGGTTCCAACATTCCCCAGTCCCATGTCTATGCAAAACGAAAAGGAAGGACAGTATGCAGAAACGGGTGCGAATCCAACTGGCTTGTCTGAGATGTAGGGTCTTTGCATTACAGCCCACAACAGTTTGGGATCCTCACCTGCAAAACGTCAACCTACTGCAAATTCGGCCAGCCACGTGAACCGAAAAATCAGCCGGCGCGTCTTACATCAGCAAATACGGGATCTCATGTTCGATTGCAATCAAACGGCTTGAGTCCACTTGAATTCGACAAGTTTCGAGGAACCTCATGTGGGGCTCCATGTTTGGTTAGCGTAAGGTGTCCTCAAGCTTTGTTTCTACAGTCTTTGGAATCCAGATCGTGCTTCTCGGAAGGAGGGCCCTTGTTCCTTCCTCCTGGTGACAGCCCATAGGCCCCTAGAAATGAAATATGGCGGGTGCAGGTGCCTTCTGTGCCAGACTCTGAAGGCAAGGCTGCGGAGGCCTCAGGACTGCAATGGCCAATGTGCTACAGTTCATGAATGGTACCTTTACACATGTTTACCCACGGTCCTCATGATGGTTGAAGCAGTACAATTACTTTAATTAGGTAGACTTCTATTGGGCTTTGGAGCAAAGCCTGTCCAAAATCCAGTGGGTTAATGCAGGTTGTGCTCCTTGTTGCGGTGTATTCGATGATGGGGTTTGAGGCCGGGGGGATCAGAAATTTACTGGATGAAAACAGAGTGCTATCCCCGCTTATTGTCGTTCTCGGCGACTTATCCTGGGCCAGCACATCTAGCAAGAATCTACACTTTGTCCAGACAGCTAGAGTAAACAACTTTCCGGTATACAGCCATGCACTAGCCAGATCACACAGACTCTTGTAGGTTCTCACATTATATTTTGCTACGCATCGCCTCCCATAAGTTCACAAATGCATCCGCTCGCGCCTTCTCCTCGCTCGACTCCACATCCTGCCCTGGCTCTGTCACATTCGAAGCCGTCTGTGACGGATCATGGAACTGGAAGAAGAAGGCCTGGGGCAAGAGTTAAGGAACTTGATATTTGAGTTACCATTTTAGCACCCGATAATAAAGAATTTGGAAAATGAAATGGAAACTGGGGGAATACAGGGATTTAAGGAAATCAACTTACTATATTCGGGAAACCTATTATTATGTACTATACATACCCCTCATGGTTACTTAGTTTAAGTTCCTTGATATCAATCCAGGCTGATTCATCACTGCTACCTGAAATCCCACCATGCAAACTCACTCAAACCTGGATCTCAAGTATTTTGCCTTCAAGACCTGGCCTTTTTTTGAGGTCACTGTATAACCCATTCTAGTAGCTTCCATTAGCTAACCAAAGGCAAATAAAACCTTTGCAACCAACCCCCCCCCCCCTCCCCACCAAGCTGGGCGATTCTTCGGCTGTCAGGTTGTCCGGATCCCACTGCCATCGCTCCTTGGAGAGATGTAGGCAAAGAGATATATGTTTGCAAAGTGGTGGTCTGTAAACATGAAATTCGAAGCAGACGAAGCATCCCGCGGAGTTTCCTGAACCCTTAGAGGTCAACCTTCAACTCCCTCACCCCCAGTCCGACATCTTCAACCCTCGGCATGCCTTTTATGAAGCTCTGTATAGGAAATAAGCCCCAATGTAGTAGAGTATAGACTAAGGATCCTTTAGCCCACCTACCTTCATCCCACCTTTGGAGCCCCCTGATTTAAGAACTTCACTTTCACTTTCAGGGCTCTGAATCCGAAGCCTGATTTAAGAAGCTCTGATGCCAAGCCGCCGAGCGCGGGACAAGCTGCGAAATCGAGTCCCAGGAGCTAACCTCGCCTCTGGCTGGTAAATGGACTTTACTGGGAACCCCAAACAAGGAAACCCAAGAATATAGTAGGAATATATTAGGAATATACCTACTAGGGTCCTCATCTTCCATTATATTCCTACTATATTCTTTGGGTTCCCTGTTTGGGGTTCCCATTAAAGTCCCTTTAGATGGTGCTTTCTGGCCATGCCAACACTACAATATGGGCTATAGTCTAAACTCCTTAAAGGGCGGTTATGTAGGGGGTTATACAGGGGAGTAC